GTACCGAATACATATTCGCTACACAAGTCACTTGATCTGTGTGTTGGTTGGGTTACTGTCCGGGTGCCCAAATCGAAACAGGTGGTTTTCTTAGGGGGTTACACCCAGAGCCTTCGACCTGAAGGTCTGATCCACAAGGCAGTGGAGCAACGTAAGGAGATGTAATCCCATGGTAGCAAGTGACCAACAATAGATTCATACACCATTTGTTCCTTCAAGATACTGGAGATCATGTGCACGATTGGTTTGGAATGAGGGTTTTCCAACTCCCCTAGGTGGACTCTCCGTATCCACCAACCCGGTTAAACCACCGGACATTCGCTTTCCGTCCTCTCAATTTCGTAAAAAACAGTAATGCCGCGAGAAGTTGATTACTAGGTTTTCCCTGACAGTGGCTGTATACACATGGTCATGTGAGAGCATTTCGAGAGAGAGAGAGAGAGATGGCTCTCCCTACCCTCGGCTGTACCAGGGCATTTGGGGGCAATTTAGTAGTAAACATTCTCATTATTTTAAATCCAATGATCCTGAGCTCTCTACTTGATGAAATTGTGAAGATGCGCATTGTTAACAGTCTTGTAATAGTATAGCTGGAAAAAACTACATTTCCATTCTAATTATCAATAAGATTCATATCTAATTTCAATTTTGACAATAGTTTAAAATGACATCATCAATAACTTTTCTGGTATGTATTATACTTGATTTCACATGCCGTTTACTGTATAAACATGTTCATCTTTAGATTAAGTGTTATGATTAACCATTTTACAATTTGTTCTAGATTCAGAATATATTTGTCTTCATTTTCTTATCTTAAAAAATGGTCTCTTTTTTAATATATAAGAACTTTTGTCTAAATTTGATCGAATAGTTTCATAGTATTACAATTCTGAGTTGATGTGAGACATTAAACAGGAAGAATGTATTTGTAAAAATATGAAATAAATCCAATGTTTCGACTTAGTTGTCAAGCGATTGGATATCCGTACACACGAGTCCTGGGTTCGAATCCCTTCTGCCAACAAACTCATTCAGGTGAAGTGTGTTGAATTTACTTCAAATTCATTCACTGAGATGTCACACATACATTCTTCTTCTTCTTCTTCTTCTTCTTCTTCTTCTTCTTCTGCTTCCAATCTTTGTAATATATATCAGTTAAATATTTTTTAAATACTTTTATGTACATCTTGATTTTCATACTAATGATAAATTTCGTTAGTGTAATAAGAAGATGGAGATTATAAGAACTATGTAATCTCAAAATTAGTGTGTATGAACATGTACCTAAATGGTTGTAGAACCATATAGAATCGAATGATTTAATAAAAGTAGAGTATGTTTACATCCACCCCCAAATGCCTTGGTATGGCCAAAAGTAGGGTGGGCCCCCCCTCCTTCTCGAAATGCTCTCACACGGCCACACGTACACAGCCTCTGCCAGGGAAGTCCTACTCACTGTCTTCTCGTGGTGGGGGTATTGTTTACGAAATTGAGAGGACGAAAAGCGAATGTCCGGCGCTTTAACCGGGTAATGCATACGGAGAATCCACCTAAGGGAGTTGGAAAACCTTGATTCCAAACCAATGGTGCACATGGACTCCAGTATCCTGAGGGAACAAATGGCATATGAACCAATCGTTGGTCACCGGCTACCATGGGAATGCATCTCCTTACGATGCTCCACCGCCTTGTGGATCAGACCTTTAGGTGGAAGGCTCGAGGTGTGGCCTCCTAAGAAAACCACCTGCTTCGATCTGGGCACCCGGACAGTATCCCAGCCTGCACACAAATCGAATAATTTATGTGGCGCATATGTATTTGGTGCCTCCTTGTACCAATGTTTGTGTGTTTAAATAAATAAAATAATGTTTACATCCATCATCCTCTATTGTCCAACACATAATTCAATCAGGTCATAAGATTGATCTTAACTTGTCTTTTGTGGTGGTGTTGTACAAAAGTGTAAAAGGGCGTATACTAAGGTCATACGAAAATCCAAACCCTTTTTGTGTCTATTCAAAACCAGTTTGTTCTCACCCTGATATTATTAACTTATTATCTAGTGTTAAGGTTTCAAATTATTTTCACTTTATCAGTATAGGGTTTTGAAGATTATTAAGTTTTTGATTGAGATCATGAATTGATTGATGTTAGACCTGGAAGCATTGGATGGCTGTTTCATTCTATTGTAGGACTCCTTAGAAGTTCCCATCCACAATTCCGCCCACGGGATTCGAACCCAGTGTCTTCATATCGTTTCCTTATTATCATTGCCTGCTCTTACCTTCCATTTGTAGTCTAGTTAACATTTTATTTTTATATATAAATATTCTTAACAAGTATGTAATGTGTGATTAGATTGTTCGAAATATATTACACTAATATATCATCACATATTTCTGATAATCTTTCGTCTTCTCAATGATAATATACTTGTTCACGCTTCTTTAAGATCATTGGTTCAGACCTCAATAGATTGTTCATGTTGTCACAGTTCAAATCACAGCACAGGATAAACATGTAGTTTTCATGATGAAAAGTAGAGAACACGGGAAAATACTGATATCTATGATAATAAAATGTAAAGTGTAAAATAGTTAAAAAAAAGGAAACAGATGAAATTGAAGCAAACGATGAAGAATGTGAGATATCTTCCATGATAATGCTTAGCATGATGTGGTATAACACAAATCCTGTATGGGGTCAAGATTTATGTGCACACTCAGTTGGAGGGCTAGTGATAGTAACTAGTTGCCCATACCCAAATAATTGGGAAATGGTTCGGACCTGCTAGTTACTGACCGAAAGCTAGACGCTTTAACTATTGAACCATCGCTACAAATTGACTCAACGGGGATGAACAACGAAACAATCTAGTTAAATCTCTATAGTTTATCACTCCATAAGATGTTAATACCCTTGGTGATTTTCAAATTAAAAAACGACAAATCAGCTGGTTACTAATTTTTTTTGGTTTTAAATGGTTACTTGACTTATATCGTTATGTATTTGAAACTTATTTGATAATTGACAGTATCCATAAGCTTACTATCTCAATCGTATTTAACATTCAGTTTGCTTGTTTACATAGTAATTCTAGTTAAGATGAGAAATGCATATTCATGAACTACTAATAATCATTTCACTATAATCCAATTGTTTCAATAATGTTTAAGGGGTTGAACTAGATATTTCGAAATGGTTGATTGACATTTATTTGTTTACTACTTGTCAGTTGTATCTATTTATAAATATATCATTAGATGAAATAGTCAAAACAATTAGCTTTCAAATAATGAATAATAATTTGTAACCCTGCCCTACCTAAATCGCTTTATACAGCCTTGGTACGGTCGAGACTGGGGAGAGTTAGCTCTCCCTTTCGAAATGCTCTCACATGGCCACACGTACACAGCCTCTGCCAGGGAAGTCCTACTCACTGCCTTCTCGTGGTGGGGGTATTGTTTACGAAATTGAGAGGACGAAAAGCGAATGTCCGGCGCTTTAACCGGGTAATGCATACGGAGAATCCACCTAAGGGAGTTGGAAAACCTTGATTCCAAACCAATGGTGCACATGGACTCCAGTATCCTGAGGGAACAAATGGCATATGAACCAATCGTTGGTCACCGGCTACCATGGGAATGCATCCCCTGATGTTGCTCCACCGCCTTGTGGATCAGACCTTTAGGTGGAAGGCTCGAGGTGTGGCCCCCTAAGAAAACCACCTGCTTCGATCTGGGCACCCGGGCAGTATCACAGCCCACACACAATTAATGAACTGAACTGTCTATGATCATGGAAACTAATTCTATTGCTTCGACGAACATTCAAATGATTCAAATGTTATTATTATTAATATTAATATTATTATTAATATTATTATTATTATTATTATTAATATTTTCCACATTATTCACCCTCTTTTATTCCTATTCTGTCTATACTTATTTTTTTCGACTTATACAGCAGCTCGTCTATGGTAGAAATTCGACTCTGTCTAAACGTTCTGGAGTCACCGTCCGGTTGAAAATTGTATGTTACTACCGTATACGAGGACTGAAGCAGTTTTTCTTAAACCACGTGCACCATTCAAACTGGCTGCCTTCAACGTTCGCACATTTATGCAAGTCGGACAACAGATAGGGCTGGCTATTGTCTTTGGAAAGTCTTAATATTGATGTTTGTTGTCTATGCGAGACCCGTATTCAAGACTCTGGTGAAGTACTACAAATTCGCTCTCCATCTGTCACTTCAAAAAGCTTGTTTTACGTGCGCTTATCCGGGGACCCTGTGGCATCTTCGTCTGGTCTTGCTGGCGTTGGTGTCGCACTAAGCGCTAGAGCTGAGGCAGCACTAATCGATTTGATCCCCATTAACAGTCGGTTATGTGCTGTTAGCTTAGAGAGTTCCATCAAAGTGATAAGAAATCGGTGTGAGAAACGATGTCTTTTCGTCATCTCCGCCTACGCTCCGAGATTGCAGCCCGGATGCAATCAAGGATGAGTTTTACCACCAGTTATCTGTTCTTCTCCAGAAAGTGCGTTCGACAGATATTGTAGTATTAACCGGAGACTTGAATGCTCAGGTCGGGTGTCTAGGCACAGAAGAGAGTCGTTTAGGTGGCCGATGGGGACTTGTAGGTCGCAGGACAGATAACGGTGACCGTCTACTGCAACTATGCACAGACCACAACCTGTTTCTGGCTAGCACTATTTTTCGGCACAGTCATCTCCGATGTTCCACCTGGCGTCCTCCCTCTGCATCTCAAGCCTAGACTCAGATTGATCACATCGCGATCAGCTACCGCTGGCGTGGTTGTGTACAAGACTGCCACTCCTTTTGGAATACCTATCTGGACTCTGACCATGCCTTGGTCTGCGCCAATCTTGCCTTACTTTTCAGTGGCCAACGAAGTGACCACCAACTTCTGTTGCAAGTAAGTATCAAACCGAGCTAGTTTCTAGGCTAGCTACTACTCCACCGAAAAGTATAGATGAGCATTGGTTGCAATTGCATGACGCCATGAAAATGGCGGGAACAGTCAGTTGTGGGTTTGCGAAACGTCCCGCTTATAAGCACTGGGTTTCTTCTGGTTCCTTACAACTCATTGAAGCCCGTCGGTCTACTCCGGGTGACCGTGAGTTTGACCACAAACGAAGGATGTTACGTAATGAAATTAAGCAAAGCTTGCGTAAGGACCGAGGAGCCTGGTGGTTGGAGCGCGCTAATGAGCGGGAAGCAGCAGCTGCATCTGGTAACTACCGGAAGCTCTTCCAACTCATCCGAGCCACTGGCAGCAAGAAGTCTTTTGTGAGCGAAACAATCTGTGAAGATGACGGGATGCCAATCACTAACATCCATCGACGTCTTGGACGATGGGCAGAATTTTTCGAAGGGCAGTTCAACTGGCCTGCTGCTCCGGCAACATCGGTCAGACTGTCCTGCCCTCTATGGCAGGTGACGACTGATCCACCAAATGAGGCGGAAGTCCGCGAGGGACTCCAACTCTTGAAGCGTTACAAATCACCTGGCCCAGATGACTTACCTCTGGCTCTTTTTAAAGATGGTGGTGACTTTTTGACTAAGGAATTGACGACGTTGTTTACCAAGGTTTGGGAACTAGAGAGTGTACCAACGTCATGGAATGAGTCGATAGTTGTCCCTATCTTTAAAAAGGGTTCACGTCGTTCTTGTAACAACTATCGGGGGATAAGTTTACTTCCGATTGCGTCCAAGCTATTGGCTTCCGTCATACTTCGTAGGTTGTTCAAAACCCGAGAAAGATTGAATCGCGAGGAGCAGGCTGGGTTTCGTTCTGGTCGAGAATGTGTTGATCATATCTTCACCCTCCGCCAAATGTTAGAACACCGCCATACTTATCAAAGGCCAACAATCGTAGTGTTTCTTGACATCAGGGCTGCCTTCGATTCGTTGGATAGGACTGCTCTCTGGGATTGTCTATTGAAGAAGGGTGTGCCTGAGAAGTTTATTAACATCCTAAAAGCCCTATATACAAACACCTCAGGCAGAGTGAGGGAATACAACTACCTTTCTCCATTGTTCCATTCGAGCAGTGGGGTTAGACAGGGTTGCCCAATCTCACCATTCCTCTTCAACTTTGCCATCGATGATATTCTGGAAACAGCTCTGATGAATGTAAGTAATGGTGGTGTGGACCTGTTGCCTGGAGAAAGACTTCTCGACCTTGAGTATGCGGATGATATTGTCTTACTGTGCGATAATGCCCAAGGCATGCGACCCGCACTTAATCAGTTGGCAATCAGTGTCCGTAGGTATGGTATGTGCTTCGGACCTTCGAAGTGCAAAGTACTTCTACAAGACTGGTAGGATTCTAATCTTGTACTCACCCTGAATGGTGAGCAGATAGAAGTAGTCGAGAAGTTCATGTATCTGTGTAGCTGCATAAGTGCTGGTGGGGGTGTGAGTGATGAGATCAATGCACGTATAGTGAAAGCCAGAGCGGCTTATGCCAATCTGGGCCACCTTTGGCGCCTTCGTCATGTTAGTCTGGCTGTATAAGGTCGGATTTACAACGCGTCGGTGAGAGTAGTTTTGCTCTATGCTTGTAAAACCTGGCCTCCGAGTTGAGGACGTTAGACGACTTTCTGTGTTCGATCATCACTGCCTCCGAAGGATTGCTGACATTCAGTGGCAACACCATGTTGGTAATGCAGAGGTTCCTCATCGTGTGTTGGGGCACAGAGACGATAATGCAATTGATGTCACCATCTTGAAACACCGACTTCGGTAGCTTGGACATGTTCTACGAATGTCGTCTCAGAGAATTCCACGTCGTGCATTATTTGCCGACTCTGGGACTGGTTGGAGAAAGCGGAGAGGTGGTCAGTGTATGACGTGGTGTCGTGGTATGAAAGAAAGCTGCAAAGGACTAGCTTGTGTTGGTCCTTCATGACTCCCTGGTTGGGGTCTGAGAGATGGTGCTACACAGTGGCTAGAGACGTTATCAGATATGGCTCAGAATAGAAGCCATTGGCGATCCTGCTGTAACCTTTTACTTTCTTCATAAAAGTGGTTGTTTTTTCCTTAACTGAAAGATTTGTTCTGGTTGTACCTTTCCGTCCCCCCATTATGACTATGATTATTACTACACTTCCTTACACCAATCTCTTCATTATTGTTTTAAAAAAAATTTTTTTTACGTTCCTCGTTTTTTTTCTTCTTAAATTCCCATTGTTTTGTGTGGCGCATATATATTTGGCGCACTCCTGTACCAATATATGTATGTTCAAATAAACAAATAAATAATTAATTATCCAGGCCCTTTGGTAGGGAGACGGGCATATTGTCCACGCCATAAGTAATGCCAAGCGCTAAAAGACAACCGGGTTTTCCGAGTTCATATCGAGATTTTGTCACCGGGATTGATGAGATTTCTAAGTGAAGTAAGTAGTCGATAAGTTCAAACAATTCACCCCCTGTCATTAGTTTTGAGGGAGAAAAACTCATTCCAAACATGTTAGCATTGTCGCTCAAATCGATCGAAATACTAAATTTTATTGGGGTCTCCACCAAATAGGATCATATGATGAGCGTGTCCTGAGTCGATCAGTGAAATTCTTGGTAGGAGATCGACTCCTAAAGGGTTGATTAAAGAAAATTTTATTTCAAGGAGGACGTCAAAGATAGAAGTAATTAAAAATGAGGATACTGAGCATCTCACGTTCAAATCTGAAACCTGATTGGCTTTCTGGGAATCGCTATCGCACTAGGTAAACATTAAGGGATTATTAAGTCTAATTTTTGAGGTCATGTTAGTCAAGGTGGTCCCTCTGTGGTTATCTTAAGATGTGCTTTTTCATAAACCGAAACAATCGACGCGTCAGATAGAATAACGTCCAGTTTCCAAACTTAATCCAATATCTCAGTCAGCTTGACTGCTTAAACTTTTTTATCTTCCCTTCAGAGCTCCGAGTTTAATGAAGCAGAATTTAATGATCTTCGTTTTAGACTGGACGTAGCCTTTTCAACCCCATCAAGGGTTGGGAAACGTGACAATTTATCATTCAGTTTGGTTTAGGACATACGGTAATTAAAGTGTAGCTCTAAGTCTGTTGAACTGTTTGCTAAGGAGTTCTATCAGACTTAGAATGGATAAAGTTTTCACCCTTTTCAAGACATTGTCACCAAAATCTGCCTTTTTAACATATATTTCCTTGATCATTCGGTAAAGTTGTCTGTTGTGACCTATAGCTCACTTCCTTTTCCATCTCTTTTGTCTTCGTCGTTTACCACTGCTCATTATGATTGTCTAAAGTTTTTATTAGTTTACGTCTGAATTGTCTTCGAACTTCATCGTTCTTCAAGCTTAATGGAATGCGTTGTCGAGCATCTATAAATTCAGTAGATGCCATCAAAATTTACTGGTCATTCTTAACCTCTTGATTTGAGATTTTGATACTTATATACTGTTGTTACTTATATACTGACAGGTGTTTGGATATCGTCCCAGGCTTCTTCAGTATGAGCTGTTTCTCGATGATCAACTTAGTTCTTGACTAATTTTTTACTGGATGTATCATTCACTTTTTTATCTTCGAATTGATATCTAGTAAAGCGCATGGAAATACGTGCTCTCATTAGGGTAGGAAATGATTAAATGTCAAGCATGTACTTCAGTAGGGGTGGTAGTCTTCTATTGATTCCCTTAAACGGTTTGTGGTGGTGATATAATCTATTTGTGTTCACCACCATTACGCAACCATTCATCCATTGTCTGAGGTGGGTAACTGTCTCCATCCTACATAGATTGAACTCCATTGGACACGGCTTCTCACTGGAACTCCAGGAAATCCATCTTGAAGCTAGTCATTAGTGATCATGGGTCGGTTGGAGTTAGACATTAACAGTGTTGGATGCCCGCTCAGTGGTCTAAAGGCTAGGCATTCACACGCAAGGCTGAAGGTCCTGGGATCGAGTTTCACGTACGGGATCGCGGATGTGGATTGTTCGGGTGTCTCATACTAGGATCAAACGGCCGTGCAGTGCTTCAAGGTTTTCAACAGTGGTCTAACTTAGATTGACTCGTGAATTTGACTGTTTAAACGCATTTCGCTAGAAGTTGCATGAGTCAAACAAAATTTTATGATTATCAGTAAATCATAAATTATTAAACTTTTCGTTCAATACTTCAGAAATTATATTACGTTTGTAAAAGAGATTAATCCTAAGCGAAATCAATAAAGTGAATAATTTGGAAGGATAGAATTATCAAGAAATACAGCGACAATATTAGTTAAACAGTTCAATAACCTATGCAAAAGTGGATAGTGACTAGCAGTGGGATCTAGGACAAAGCGCGTTTCGTCCTATTTGGGACTCGTCAGCTGGATGTACCTGCATCCTGCAGATGATGTCCACTGTGGGGCGCGAACCCAGTACCATTCGCTTCAAACCCCATCGCGTTATTCACTTAGCTACTGAATCTTGATAACCGCTTGTTTTACTTGAATCTTATAATGCTTGTGACTTAATGCAATATCGAGGCAATACACACAGTATACATATATACCAATAAGAGACTGATCAATTGCAGTCCTAAATAACAATGGGAAGATTCAAGTAAACTATACCAAGTGGATTTAAACTTCTCCTCATTACACAAGTAAATGGCTATCAGGACTTAGTAATTAAGTGAATAATGCGATAGTGTATAAAGCGAACAGTACTGGATTGGAGTTCCGAAGTGAACATCAACTCTAGGATGTAGGGTACATCCAGTTGACGAGTCCCAAATAGGACGAAACGCGTATCGTGTATCCTACTGCTGGCTACTAACCATCTTTGCTTATAATATTTGTGATCAGGCAATATCGAAGCAATACGCACAATATGCATATATACTAACAAAAGACTGATCAATTGCAGTCCTAAAGACATCAATGGGAAGATACAACACCAGTTGAATTGATTAGTTTAGTTGTAATTTTACACTTCATATTGGTAATAATAATAATCCATATAGTTATTTAGATAGATAATAATTTTAATGACAGAAAACTAAGAATTATGTATTTTATCGGTAATACAATTGATTTATTTTCATTCTTAATCGACTAACTTGTACTTTGATGTTATTACACTAAGCGAAATTAATTGGCTAATGTATATTATAGTTACGTTTTTATTTAGAATAAGAGTAACTATAGGCGCGAAAATAATGATTAAACAAATTCTCAAAATTGTTCACAGCTTATACATATGTGCTACACAAGTCATTTGATACTACTCAGGTACCAAGTCCAAAGAAGATGGTTTTCTTAGGAGGCCACACCTGGAGCTTTCGATCTAAAAGTTTGATCCACAAGATAGTAGAACAACGTAGGTAGATGTAGTCTCATGGTAACTGGTGACCAGAGATAGGTTCATATTTCGTTTGTTCTCTCAGGATCCTGGAGGTCATGTGCACCATTGGTTTGGAATTTTCTGTGTCCATTAATCTGGTTAAAGCACTGGGCATTCGCTTTTCATCCTTTCAATTTCGTAAACAACATTAATGTCGCGAGAAATCAGTAAGTAGGACTTCTATGCGTGAGCATTTCGAGTGGAAGAGTGGTCTCTCTCCACCTTTCGCCGTACCAGTGCATTTGGGGACACCTTGAATTGTGATTAATCTATACTTGGAAAATCATAATTAAAAAAACGTTTTATCACATTCATAGAAGTTTACTAATCAAGCTCCAAATATAGCATACAGTTGTGACAACACAAGATAAAAAATGTGATTGACAGTAATTTGAATTTGATACATTTGTCACTGAAGATGTGTAGTGAACAGAACACGGGTGCTTGGTATAATAGAAAAACCATACTATGATACCTAACTTGCAAAATGTTCAAAAATTGTCTCGAACTTCATTGTTCTTGCATTTCCATACTAATTGATTTCTATTCCCGCTCTTCCTTTCCTGATATTCCCCATCTTCTGCTGCCAGACATTACATTCCTGACTCGCATCATATACTACTTATATCAATATAAGTAACACGCACCTCATGTGTACATTGTTTATCAGTTCTAGACTGTTAGCTATCCAATTCCATCGTATTTTCATTGATTATGTTTAGATAAAGTCAATCTATCATATGAATTGTTTTCAGTTAATTAATAGAATCACGGAAAGATTGATAAGAGCATAAAGATAAGAAATTTCAATAATAATAAGAACAGTGTAATAGATACTTACTTACTTACGCCTGTTACTCCTCGTGAAGGAACATAGGCCGCTCACCAGCATTCTCCATCCAACCCTGTCCTGGACAATCCTTTCGAGCTCCTTCCAGTTGTTATTCATCCTTTCCATATCTGCTTTTATTTCCCGACGTAATGTGTTCTTTGACCTTCCTCTTTTCCGCCCTCCCTCAGGATTCCAAGTTAGGGCTTGTCTCGTGATGCAGTTTGAAGATTTGCGTAATGTATGTCCTATTCATTTCCATCGTCTTTTCCTAATTTCCTCTTCAGCTGGAAGTTGGTTTGTTCTCTCTCACAAAAGGCTGTTGCTGATGGTATCCGGTCAAAAGATGTTGAGTATCTTGCGTAGACAGCTATTCATAAATACTTGCACCTTCTTGATGATGGTTGTTGTAGTTCTTCAAGTTTCAGCTCCGTACAGTAGAACTGCGTTGACATTCGTATTGAAGATTCTGACTTTGATATTGGTTGAAAGTTGTTTTGAGTTCCATATGTAATAGATAGTGCAAGTATAACATCAGAAACTAAATAGTTCAAAAGTGTAAATTACTTGTATCTTCCCATTGATATTTAGAACTGCAATTGATCAGTCTCTCGTTGGCATATGTGCATCTTGTGCGGACTGCCTCAATATTGCCTGAAGACACAAGATTTATGAACAAAGATGAATAGTGGCTAGCAGTGGGATCCAGGACGCGTATTTCGTTTTATTTGGGACTCGTCAATTGGATTTACCTGCATCTCAGAGTTGATGTTCACCCTGGGACTCAGTAGCTATGTGGATAACGCGATGGCGTTTGAAGCGAACGGTACTGCGTTCGAATGCTGAAGTAAACATCAACTCAGATGTAAGTACATCCAATTGACGAGTCCCAAATAAAACGAAACGCGCATCCTTGATTCTACTGCTAGCCACTATCTATCTTTGCTTATTCAGATAAATTGTAAGAAAGAGGACAGCTCCAGTGTATAAAAAGTAATACAAAATATAATTCAAA